CTGCATGTTTGATCAGCTGTACAAAATCCTGTAACTCCTCCAGCTGCTGGCATGTGAAACCCCCCAGTAAATTGTAGATTTATGAACTATGTAAAATCTGCCTCAGAGCATTTTTGTGTGCATATTTCAGCTACTGCACATTACTTCCTAAAATGATTGCAACTCAATTAAGCTAGTATTTATAAAATGGTAGGAAAGTTAATGTCAACTTTGTCTCCCTCCTTGCAGCTAGATTAGAAGCAGTTACTCCAAATAAAAGAATCTAAAAAAGAGTATTTATTAAAATGCTAAGATTACAAGACAAGATTTCAGTGAGCATTTTCCATTTTTCCAATACAGCGGGTGAATACTTGTCTCTTTTGTGAAGGAGATGCTGTCTGAATCTTCTGGTTGCTCTGGTACCGCTCATCTTTATTATCATAAAAACCAATTACATTTCAGTATTTTATCTTAGGATCCCTTTAAATTCATGGTTGCAAAGAATAAAAAAGCTATTTGTTTTTCAATGCAGAGGAAATCTTCAATATTTCCTCTTCCTACTTCAATGCAGAGGAAAGTATCAATATTTAGAGCAAAGAAAGTAGAGAAACATGCCAAAGCTTGAACATAATTCAAGCTTTGGCATATTCCTCTACTTTCTTTACTCTAAATATTGATACTAACTTTTCAATTGTTGATATTCTACCACCGGAAGACAATATTGGAAAAGAAAAATAGCCTTATTATGAAAGATGATTCCTATTTATGTGGAAGAAGCACCCACACAATAAGTTAATTTCCCAATGCAGAAAAAATTATCTTATTTCGGTCAGGTTTCTCATTCCTTCCAGTCCTTTTATGGCACAGTTGCAATTAATATAACAATAAAAGAATCCCTAATCACAGTATGAAAAAAACAGAATGAAAATTACCAGTCCTGATAAGGGTCTAAGATTTTTCTAGAAGAGGCATGGATATTCTTCAAACAGGAAATAGTAGTCACTGTACATATTTAGTGTTCCTTTCTCAGCTACATATGAGGGAGGAAACCACTGTACATATCCGAAAGGTGATGATGGGCTAGAAACATGAGTAATTCAAATTAAAATTGAAAGGCCTTTTTGGAGCCAATGGAATTCAATAAGAAACCACCTGCTTTAAACCTTTATTTGAAAAAAAACCGTATTAATCACACAATGCCTCATAAATGTAGACATTGAGTGTCCTTCACACTTCTAAAGGGGAACAACAATCCCCTTTTCTTAGGGGAATATTAAAAAGAATTGAAGTACTGATATAGTGGATGCTGTAGTGTATACACTGCAATTCAAATTGGAATATAGGCTGGATCTTGTTAATTCAAATTCAAAATGATGGGTAATTAGATCATGTGCTAATAACATTCCCAAAAACCATGATCACCCTGATAAGGAACTAGTAGGTGTTCATCTACTCTTTCTGTCTTTGAAGATTGGCAAGATGAAAGGAATTGGGAGAAAAGCATAAAACCCTTCCCCCTTGGTCAAGAAATAATACAACATACAATCTCTCATCTTGGACTCAAATGTATTTTGCTGTGGCAATTTGTTTTAGGTTTTGGAAATAAAGTTTGAAATTTCATTTTCTGAGGTCTGGTGGTGTCTATCAAGAAACCAAACTTGATATTGGATTCCCTTCAAATATATTAGTGCTTTTAAGGATATATTATATTTTGTCCTGGAAGAATAAATTGTCCATGAATGATCATGTCCTGCTTTGATTTACTTGATGGGTATTTTTGCTATCACATCCATTCTGAAGTTCCCAAGTGTATTATGTAAACCCCCAATGTCAGGTTAAGCGATTCTGATAGCATTATTGATAACAATTATTCTCTGCAGTGCTTGAAAGGAAATTCGCTTTCTCATCATAGTAACTTTGATTTAAAAGTAATATTTTGAGTTGCCATCTATAAACATGGAAGAGTCAATATATCAGGGAAGTGATGAACCATGTTCTATACCTTACGTTTTGCCCCCTTCCATTCAATTGTATCAGATTCTTGGAGAATGCCTGGACAAGTTCCTTCAGTTTTCTTGTCAAGATTTTTCAGGTTTGCCACTGCCTCTTTCCTAGGGCTCAGAGAAAGTGACTAGTTCAGTCACCTAGTTTGCTTTGTGACTAAGGTAGGAGTAGAACTCAGAGTCTCTTTAGTTCTCTCTATCCTGATGCCTTAACCACTGCACTGTGACCCATGTCCTGAGGAAGAAGTCAAAGCACCTGGGATTTGTGGCAAAATTATAAAAGTTGTTCATTTCTATAGAGCTAGATTAAATCTTGTAATTTATAGGTAAGCAATTAAAGTTTTTTCTAAGTGTTTTTATACTGTATAGATTTCTAGCACTGCATCTAAATGTATGCCTGCATGAGTCAAAAAAGGTCAATTTTGTAAAAAAAAAAAGCATATAAATAGCCCTATCTATAGAAAGGCAGACCAAGTTACAGAGGAGTGTGATGTTTGCCATGGAAAAAAGTGGATGGATACTAAAACGGATAATCAGAATTCTGATAAACATGAATGTCTTAGAATGACAGATGTGGTATCTTCTTAATCCATTAGTTTCAAAAAAGCCTGGGAGCTAAGGATAGTCCAAGAAAACAAAGCAGTCAGATAAGGCACAAAAGAAACAGTTAAGAGAAACAGAACCTTATCTAGGATGAAAGAAGGGAAATGACTGGAAGGAATGAGAAGCCAAATACAAAGATCTAGTTATGCATTCTCTCCTTTCTGGGGCAAGACAAAATCAACCTATTGTGTTGATTTCTTCAGTGCACCAACCATGGAATATTCACATTTCTCAGTGGATACAGATCAAACTCTGCAGAATTTCTATTGAAACAAATCATAGGTATCTTTAGTAGTACAAAGCCATATCTTAGATATATAGGCAATGGGATATCCTTCAAACATTTACACTACTGTTCCCACAATGTTTCACCATTGCCTATACTGGCTTGTGCTTATGGAGCTGAGATACTAGTTGGGGCTACCAATTGGGTCAATGGAAAAAGAGGTTGGAGATGTATAAAACTGACAGGCTCTTTATAGAATAAATTCTGCTATTTGGATAATTTTAACATTTCATTAATGAGATTAAAACATTACACAAAACAATCTGTTACAGAACAGGTAGTTGTAATGCAAGCCCTTGCATGGCAATCCAATTTATTGAACTACTGATGCTAAGTCATACAAAATTGCACCACTTTTAATTAAGGCTTTTAGTTTACATTTGGCCACCTCAAAGCAGTTGTAACATTAGGTTGTCAATTTAAATACTGTGGCTCCCTGTTGGATTTTACACACAATCTTTACACCCAAACAATGCATACAAAGCAACAAGGCATTGTTAAATAAATCTGCAAAAAGGTAATTACTGCAACTTAGGCCTTGGGACCAATTACACATGATTAAAATTACTTCCCACATTCACATCCACAGTACTCGTCCACCATTTAATATCTCAACCAAAACGTTACACATGTAAAACAATCACTAACAGGCAAAAGTACTAAACCTGTATATTTGGTATTGCAAATACACTTATGCATGAGCAAGCAAGGGAATTCACAGTGAGAATCTACAGCTGCAGAAGCCCAAAAATGATTTACAAAAAATTGTTAAATCATTAAAAAATTGTTTTAAAATATACACTTCTTGTTGTAGACCCCCACTGTACACACAACTATAAACATTGTTCCCTATGTAAACAAGGAAAAGGAAACATACGATAAAAGGTTGAAAAATCTGGACATTTCCTTCCCAACAGATATTAAAGGCAATGTCTTTAGACAGACATTATACTGAAAGGACTCATTTTAAAGACACTAGTTCACTGTCTCCACAGGTTTTTTTTATCCTAAAATTAAAAAACTATATAGCTGTTGTGTTAATCAAAGCGCTTTTGTACAATACAATGATGATCCTGTATTTTTTAAAAAAGTTACAATAAGCTACAAATACCAATGAAGCAAAGTTATCTGGAGTAGTCTATATAGGAGCTCTTTGGACTTTCTTTTATTATGCTAAAATAGTGGTGCTTTTATGATTTACATTATTGTACTCTCCAATAGGAAGTATGGGGTTTGTTGCAGTATACAGTACGGGTTTCATACATGTACAACATTGGTAGATGAACAATGTCTCTCACTGGTAATACTGGATGTAGGCTCTGGTTTTACCAGTTGCATACATTTAGATTATGTATACGTAGAAATCTCTTGTGACACTGGAAAGTGATTAGAATGTGCAAACTGATGTAGCTGTCATCCATTTTATAAGGGTACCACCACAGGAAAGTCCATTTAAGATGTTGGTAGTTTTAATAAAGTTGGAATGCTGGCACTGTTGTAGTCGGCAACAGTTCTTCAGACCTGCAGCAAAGAAAAACAGAGAATTAGCTGCTATAGTTACCTACAGCTAAAGAGAACTCCTGCTCTTAAATTGTCAAAAGCATTAGTTTATTTGTGTAACTTGGATTATGTACTATTCTTAATTAATTCAACAACTCAAGCATTTGATCCACAATAGTTATGAACTTGCAGGAGCTTCTTCCAGGCAACAGATTTTATGAAAAAGCGCACTTAAAATTCTTTTTATTTACATTATCCCTTTTATTTAAAATAAGCAGATAGATATTTTACCAGGTCAAAATTGAAGTAATATCGCATTCACCTAGCACTTTATAGGATTCGCTTTGGGCCCCCCCTTTTTTTTGTAAACCCCCAAATCTTCTAACATATATCTATATATTCCGTGACCCGTCAAAACCGCGGAGGACAAAATCGCGCTCGACGAAAGNGGCTCCTCTCCAGACTATAAAAGGATTGCTTGTGCACACACCCTTTTTGCAGAAGTCAACGCAGGAACTAATGTTGGAGAACATTATTGTGAGCTTGGCAGGCTGGATTGCTGCCACGGCTTATCTGTGCTGGATTGCTGTCCAAGCTTGTCTGTGCTGGTTTGCTGCCAAGGACCTGTCTGTCTGTGAATAAATTGAGTAAAGTATCTTCGGCTCGGAGTGTGCTTTGGTGTGGAACGAGGGTGGTCAGAACAGTTTGATATATAGTGTTTTAATATGTGTTATAAATTAATATCCAATATATCATGGAAACTAGAGGTTATCACAACATTTGGCACAGAGTATATGGATTTTAAATGCTTGTAATATATGGATTATAAATGCTCGTGAATGCTCAATAGTAGATCAATAACTTACCAGTATACAGACTTTGCATAAAATTCAATATTCTCAGAAAAGTCTCCAATTTCATCCTTTGCAATGCTCTCTAACCAGTCTACCACCAACTGAAAAGTTAAAAAGGATTACAAAAATAGGATGAGTAATTTATCTCCCACTACATTCCCACTATTGGATAGTTTTTTTTAAAAAAAAAAGCCAATTCTAACTCAAAAGTAAATTTCATTAGTTTTTTTCCTGAAATATGAAAGGACAGCAGCCTATCTCAGATTACTTCCTCACATTCATCCATCCATTTCAATCCACATTTATGTTTGGGTTTGCCACCAATGTGCCTGGGTTTGTCAATGGTCATGGGGTGATAGGAAATGCAATGCTGCTCTTTTCCCTTTGCTGCTTTGATGATACTGACTGTATAAAAACATGACATTTCTCTGAATAAATTATAAGTATTAAGGGCAGAATTGTACAGTGATTTTGTTGCTATCTACCAGTCCCAGGAAACAGCACTGAGAGAATTTCTGTTTTTTGTCATACCTGGCTTTGTCGCACCAATGAGTCTCTCTGGAATAGATTGTTCACAATAGTCTTTTCACTGGCATTTATAAGCTATGGAAAAATAAGTCCATTTTCAAATGACTGAAACACTATTCATATAATATTTTAATATCTTCCATGTTCATTAAGTAGAATCCATCTATTAGAACAATGGCTCTCTACAACAACTCTACTATTCTTATAGCATCTTCCAAATCTCCTTGTGGAGATTAAATCATGAAGTGCAAGAGCCAAGTGAAAGTTCTGTTTCAGAAACAGAAGTACACAGTAGTGCTGAAAGCTACCATTTGCACTTTTTGGCTTTTTAAGGCAACATCTGAAAAAATGTATAGCTGTTTTAATTATTTACTTCCATAGTTTTTCCTAGTTGTATTAGATATTTTAAAGAGAGCGATATTTGCCTAAACAATTATATACTTTAGATTTGTTTTGCAAAACAAAATGAGTTTGACAAAACTTACTGCAAGATCAAACATAGTTTCATCTTCCATAGCAGACTGTATTCTGTCTCTAGGTTCAAAAGACAAAGCAAATAATCATATATGATGGACAAACATGAAAACATGTTTACTAATATACAGTATATAGGGATTTTAGAGACGATGGTAACAGAGTGACAGCTCTTTTATGTGCTCTTGACTTTTTATTTATTTGTTTTATCTAGTTTTAATCATGTAGTCTTAGTCCTTTTTTGGTTTCATTAAACACACACCTCTTACTACAAATTAAAACATTAACAGTCGTGAAATCTAGGTGCAGTTTTTATGATAACTTTGCAATTCTATTTCTGACTCGTACAGAGTGTTGCAGAAATTACATGTATCTTCCATTTTTCCACATGGTCTTGCTTTTGATGCCTTACTAGTAGTTGTGCTATGTGTTCCACAGAGGGCTTAAAACAGTATTGTTGAAACCTCCAAGAAGTTTATTTAATATTTTCTTTCATGTTTTTCAAATTACCGTATTTTTCTGAGTATAAGACACACCAATATTTTGAAGAGGCAAATTAAAAAAAAGTTTTTGCACTCTGCAGACCTCCCAAAACCAGCCTGTTATTCGTAAAAACTCTCCTCGCTTTTAAAAAAACGATATGAATAGCCTTTAAGAAGCTTGTAGAGTGCTCCTGGGGAGTACCCCCCTCCAAGAGCAAAAAACGGCCTGTTTTTCATCAAAAAAAGGGCACGCATAGCTTTTAGGAGGCTTATAGAGTGCTCCTGGGGGGGATGGGCCGTTTTTTGCTCATTTCTGCCCTCCCCAGCCCCCAGGAGCACTCTGAAAGCCTCCTAAAGGCTATGCACGGCCATTTTGGTGAAGGAGGTGGGATTTCGGGAGGCAAAAAATGCTGTATTCAGTGTATAAGACGCACCCAGATTTTCAGCCTCTTTTTTGAGGGAAAAAGGTGTGTCTTATATTCTGAAAAATACAGTTATGTGATACAAAATCTTATTCCTCTGCTACATTCTGCATTGAATTATCTATTATTCAATCACAAGATAAATAAATACACTTTAGACTGAAAACATAGTGGAACTTCCTAAGTAATAAATGCAATAGGACTACAGATAGGATTGCACTGCAAATGTATGAATATAACATAATTTCTTGAACAACATTCTTTCTGAGAGTGAAGAAAAGTTTCTTATAAATTTTTTGTTTACTTCGTATAAGAAACATTTATTTTTTATTCAAATATGGACTGTAACACAAGAAGGTAATATGTTGAGGAAAGAGTTGAGTGGCTTTTATAGAGTTACCTGTAAATTGATGACAAGAGTCTCCATGTTACCATTTCTTGTTTTAAAAGCCATAAAATACTAGCAGTTTTGGAAAATTTCTGTTGTCCAGGAGTTGCTCGATACACGATTTTTTGAAGAATGTTTAGCTGATGTTTGAAAAACAATGAAGAGCCACTTTATTTTGTTTTGTTTTATTCATTATAATTTAATTCATTGTGTAGCATAAAATAACAATTTATTGTTTACTATGTTTTACATCTTCAGTGAGTATATTCTTAGATGGTAGAATGGAAAGAACAGTTTTCAGGCTTGCAGGATAGATTTTAGAAGAAAGTTCCTTGCTTACACAGAATAGTACAAACAAGCTCGGACTATAATTGGGTTTTGATTCTGTAGGAGTGTATTGGCCAAAGGGACTGACTATGCTATTCTAATCTATGGCAAACTCTTGGATTGTAAAAAGTGTAACTGAAAGTCCCAAGAACTGGATATTTCCTCATTTTTGTTTTGCAACATAAACCCCTAAGAAAAAAGAGCGAGCAAGCAAGCAAGCTACCTTTCAAAATAAGTTTACAATAAAACATCTAATAGAAAAAGTAGAGGCAAAGGGGAAGAACATACTGTAGATAATAAAGTTGAAATGATGGTGACTAACTCTTATTTTAAACCACATATTTCAAATAACCAGTTCTACCTTTTATCCAGTGACAACTAGCAAAGCAGCTGTTGTGATTACCTACAAAGAGTCCTTCCATGTCCTACAACATTTGATGAAGGACAAACTTACTATTCAAGCTTATTCTAAATAAAATAATTTGATTAAGCAAGAAATAATTGAATAACATAATAGAATGCTATATACCTGATTACTGCAAGTATCTTCATACTCATCTATAAGTTCAAAAACAGTATTTGAACTGTGCTTTAGCAGGGAATGGAGAAAGTCAGGATACATGCTCCGCGCAGCTAAAATCACAGAAAAAATGTATTTATGAGTATGATTTGTTTTATGCAATCATTTCTTGCTATGATTTACATTTAGACTCCTAGTCATAATATAGATCGTCATCAACTTATGACAATTGATAGAAATAGAAATCGATTCGGAAACAGAACTAGTTAAAGACTGTATGATAAATNAGGATTCCATTCTTCCATTGGCTGGTGGACACCAACTGATAAAAGTTCAAACACCAACTCTACAAATACCAACCTAAGCAAATGAACAGGAAGATGGTAATGAAGCTTATTTAACTAACAGAAGAATAAAAGTGGATAGAACGTAAGCACTTCCAAGTTTAATAGGCCTGGCTAAAGAACTGAACACCAAATGAGAAGATTGTTTTGGGTTGTGCTGTAACGAAGAGCAAACAATTGCTGGTTAAATAAGAAGATGTTATTATTTCAAGATAACGTAGCAAGCATGATACAATAATATTTATTCAACTTTGAAAATTTCAGGAGATAATTATAAAACCTAGGAATTGTGAGCTGTTTTCAAATATTTAACTGCTAAGTAAAATATGATTTAAAATAAAATGCTGCTCTACTTCAATCAACAAAAATAATTTGTCAAATGAGGCAGGAAGGGGGATTCTTCTCCACATTACAATGCATCTTACATTAGTAATATCTGTTCTAGAGAGTTTCTTTTTGGGGGGGCGAAACACAGAGAGGAGAGAAAGTACAGTACTTCTGTTCCAGCGAAGTCCACTACTCGTTTTAATTTTTTTACAGCTGCTAAATCTTCTAGTAATAAGAAACAAATCTCATTTTCTGCTCATCTTATTGAAGCCTAATTTCAAAATGGTATTACTCTCATATAAGCAGTCCTCACAAGGGCAAGCAAATTATTTTAGTGAAAATGCTTAATGGTTCCTTGAACTTCAAATAGATGGATTTTTTTAAAAGGATGAAATTAAAGAAACAGGCCCAGAAAAATTTCTAAAGTATTTAAATCCAAGTGATTTTACCATTAGAGAGATGTGTAAAATGGAAATAACATCATCATAAGATTCACTTCAAATTATACTTTTTAGTACTATATTTTCACCAAGATTTAGTATACTTCTAAAGATATTTTGAAGCATTCAAACAGGTAACACATTTTGAAAATTAAGTAATTCTTAGGATGCACTTTATTCATTATGAGCAATAACAATGAACTTATCAATAAAAATGAATTAGAAATTGACATTTTAAACTATTCTAATTATGAAAACAAAACCAGCTTGGTCCCACAATCAAGAAACTCACAGTTTATAAGTATTGCTTGAGGTTTGGTATAACTTTGGTGGAGAGTTCCTTAACAGATTATTGTAACACTAAAATGGAACATTCTGAATATTCAGAGTTCACAACAGGCCTCTTTCCAAACCAGAGTTTCTAGAAGGCTAATCTGTGAGCCAAAACCTTTTGTGGTTATGAGAATATTCTTATTTTGGAGGCTCCTTTATTCACTGTGGAAAACTAGTAGTACCCACAAGATTTCAATGGTCCAGCATTTGGAAAATGGAACAATAATCTGATTTACAGAATACTGAAATGAATTTCAAGACAAGAATATCTTTAAAATCTTGTAGCTCAATGCACTTATTTTGTGCTAGCTTGCCAACATAAGGAAATAGGACAAGTTGTGAAGGTTCATATAACTTAAATCTACTGAAGTGAGCTTAGCTCACTTAGTGCTGGAATTAGACAATTTTATATACATACATATATCTGTATCTCTATAATATTTCATACTTTAAAGCTGTGGTGGCGAACCTTTGGCACGCATGCCACAGGTGGCACGTGGAGCCATCTCTGAGGGCACATGAGCTCTTGCCCTAGGTCAGCTGCAGCGCGCATGAGCACGCCGGCGAGCTGATTTTCACCCTTCAAAAGGCCTCCGAAGGGCTGGGGGAGGGCGTTTTCGCATTTTCGCCCTCCCCAGGCTTCAGGAAAGCCTCTAAAACCTGGGGAGGGCAAAAAACGGGCCTATCGGAAGTTCGGAAATGGGCCGCTTTCGGAGGGCCTCTGGGGTGCCGGGGGAGGCTGTTTTTGCCCTTCCCAGACTTCAGAAGGGTGACGGGGGTCATGCACGCTTGCACAGGGGGGGAGTGGGGGTGGTGTCATGCATACATTTATGAGAGGTGTGCAGAGGGGATTGAATTATGGGTATGGGCATCCGCGCGCGTGTTATTGCATGCACGTGCACGCTTTCAACACCCGAGCCAAAAAAGGTTAACAGTGATTCGGAGAATGGATCCCAAAATAGATTTTATTTTTCACTATTGTCGATTATTAGATACTAGAATACAAGATGTGCCATCTTGCTAATTCTACGTATTAGTATACATGGTTTGCACAGGTAGCCAAATGTTCAGATTGGATTTAGCATTTTCATCCACCTATCAAGTCTTTCCTAAGGACATGAGATAGGTAGAAGCTCATGTCTGATAAAGTTAGAGGTACCACTGCAGCATAAGCTGTTCCGAGTAAAGTTTCCTTTGGCAATTGACTGATGGTGAATTTGTCAATGCCAGTGGTATTCAAGTGATGCTCCAGTTGTTTTGGAATTGCAATGAAGGTACCTATTATTACAGGTACTACCTTTGCTTTCTTTCACCACTCCACAGTCATTCTATTTCTGGTTTTTGTATTATCTTCTCCAGTTCTTCTCTCTAGTCTGCTATCTCCAGGTACTGCCCTGTCCTCTATCCAGACTTGTTTAATTTTTCTTATCAACAATTGTTACGTCTGGGATATTATATAGCAGTTGCCTGTCAGTTTGAATTCCAAAGTCCCAGAGCACTTTATCTTCTTTATCTTCTATTACTATCTGTATTTTATGTCCTACCAGTTCTTGCTTGCAAGCAGATGGTATTTTTTTATAAATCTTCAAATGCCCCATCATTGCTACTTTGTCATGCTGTTATTTGTAATAAGCCTGTGCAATCATCTTGCAGCAACTAAGCAGGTTATTATTATTATTTCAGTTCTCTTTTTAGACAGATATTGGAATGTAATAAGACCTTTATAGCCCAAATATCAAAGCATAATTCTCTATTATTGAAAAACTGCTCCAAGGACCAGCATGGAGCGTGACCCGTCAAAANATGACAATTGAGATTGGAATTTCATTAGTTAAGTGAAGCAATAATTAAGGAAGATGCTCATGTGACCGCTTTGCTCAATGACTGTAATCCATAGATGGGTTCCCTACAGTATGGTATAGTTTGGCTGAATAGGCAGTAACTCCGGCAGATACGTGACCGTACTGGTTCTATCCTTGGCAGCGTCATCTTGATTTTTTGTTCTGCACATGCGCAGAACAATCTTCATTGAAAAAATGTATTTTTTCCTTATAATGTGCGCATGCGGAGACTGTTTGAAGTGCAAATGCACAAGTGCTCGTGCGCAAAAATTTTCAGGTGCTGAACTGGTAGTAATGGTGGCAGGAACCCACCCCTGCTTTAATCCCAACTCTCCCAGTTGTAGTCATTAAGTACAAAGGGGCACTAGGAGAGGGGGGAGGCCCTGAGGTCATCCTGTGGAAACGTCATGGGCCAGGAGGCCTCGACTGGCTAGGGACCACTGGCATGCAGAAACCTGTCACAGGCTGGGAGGGTAGGGCCCTTTCTCTACTTGGGTCTACTTATTTTACTTTTTTCTATAACTGCTGAAAAAGGCTTTCTAGACTTCAAAACAATCATCTTTGCAAGATTTCACCTTTGCTGACCAGAAACATTCCCACTTCGCTAGCAAAGGCAATCATTCTGAAGGTTAGAAAGACTCTTTACTGGCCAGAAGCCTAGCAAAGGTTTCCTTTCTCTTCCAATAAATTGGTGCCCTATTGTTATTACCCAAGAAAATTCATGAAGAAAAGCTTGTTCAGTTCTCTTCTGTTCACTGTACATTAAGCAACTCACAAAATATGTATTTTATCTGCTTTTTTCATAGGCTCATTAGTCAATATTGGTAAAGTATTATTCAAATAAAACAGGAAGATATTCATCTTACCAGCTTCCCCTGGGTCATCCTCATTCAAGAGGACAGCACTCTTTGTGACATCCTCTGCTGCACTATAATCTAAGTTTGTGAACATGACTGAATGTGGAGGTGTAACTGCAGCTGTCCAGTCACTGTCATCTAACTAAGACACAAAGCATTTTATCAGTATCAAGGCAGATTTGTTTTCTAACTGCAGTCTACTTTTAAGATACACTGATAATAGTACACCATAATCCCAATTATAAATTTGAGAAATGTGACGTAGCCATTAGCTTTCAAAGAAATGATTTTTAGCAGAGCATTAAAATATATTTTATTTAAACTCAGAACAACCTAAATAACCATAAGGTTAAAATTTCATCCTTATTATGCATGCATTAAAATGTAATCTAAAAATTCCTTTTATTAGCTACAAAAACTTTATTTCAACAAAGATAAATGTTCCATTATTTTTAAAGGAGTTATATATCAGGACAAGGTTTTATGATAAAAAAAAAATCAATCAATTCATGAAAGATAATACACCTCCAAAATACTAAAGAGAGAATACCAACTCTCTTCCCATCAAGTTAAAGACTGGCATAATTTTGCAGCTTTCAAAATGACAGAAGGAAATAAATTGATGCCTTTATTAATTTACTTATTCAATTTTTATGGCCTCCACTTCAAAACGAGCTATGGCTGGTGACCAATCAAAATTTAAACCAAATACAAACAGAATATAAAAATAATATATTAGCAAATGAAAAAAATCACAACCATGTATTAATATAACCAGGAAACAGGGCATTTCACACACAAAATCCTAGGCCTGGACACATAGCCTGTCTTCAAGGCCTTTTGAAAGCCAACAGAGTCAGGACCAGTGATAAGACAGGTACTTGGCAGAGAAGGCACGTCTCCTGGTCCTGCTAGGTGACATTCTTTGGCTGACAGGACCCTGAACATGTGTATCCTGCCAGACCAAATTGGATGGTTAGAAACAACTGGGAGAAGATGGTATCTCAGGTAACCCAGTTCTAAACCATGAAGGCCTTTAAAGATGATGTAACCAGCATCTTGAATTTCAGCCAGAAACACATTGGCAACCAATGCATGAAGCAGTGGTCTTACATATATGACGTATAACTGACACCATTTACTGCTGTGCAGATTTGTTCTAGACCAGTTAAAGCTTCTGGATGCTCTTTAAGGGCAACCCCATGTATAGTTTATTGCAGGAATACAGATGGGCGAAGTCACAAGGCATGAATGACTGTGAGCAGATGCTTTCGTTTAATAGTAATATACTTACTAGCAGTAACTAGAGCCATCCTATCTGGGCTGCAGAAATTCAGACAACCAGGTGACAACAGCAAAGAGTACTGATGACCTGGATTTTGTAGTTAATACAGAATAGCCATGGGAATAAACTATAGCAACCAATTATATTCTTCTATGTCATAACCCCCTAATGGAGAAGGGTGGGGCTTTCTTGAATATTTTCAGCCTCTCTAAATCCCAAATACTGCAGCATAATTCATAAAACCCATAGTTACTACAGTGGTAATTGTTTTTTCTTTAATTACCCACCAAATAACTCATTCATAAAAACCACAAAATATTATTACCCTGCTATATCTTACATTGATGAAGAGTTAAGATCCAACAAGTTCTTACAAAGTTTTTCATATTAACTTATTAACAAAGTTTTCATATTAAAGACACATTGGAAAGGAGAAACCGTCCAATGTTGCCAGGGCTCAATGTACACTTTAGCCAGAAAGCATGGCATATCGTTTGGAGAAAAGAATGTGGTAAATGTCCTACTTGGATGAAATAAAAAACAGGTGTCACAAACTGATTGATTTTGGAGGTGGAAGGACACAGTGCACAACTTATTGCAGTTCCCATTTGTATTTTTTTTTCTCTTAGAACCATACACTAGCAATATTTCCAAAACAGTTTACAGGAAGAAAATTAAAAGAAAGACTCACACTGTGCTACTTTATGCATATCTCCATGAACATGTTAAAAGTTGGATGAATTTCTGAGATTATTATTTTGTGATAATAGCAGGTTATCACAAAATATAAGTAGGAATTCAACTATCTTATGCATCTGTCTGTCGATTTCTGTTTAGTATGTTCTTACCACAGACAAATTACCAAGGTGCCCAGGAATCGTCACAAAGTAAGGTGATTTCCTCTCTGTGCCTAGGTTGGTAGATATATTTGACTGCTTTGTGGTACTTCGGGTCCGTGGAGTAACTGGAAAAAAATGTTTTTGATTTTTTTTCTGAAAAACAGATACTCTTGTGTTTAAAACTTTTAATTTTATTTTGAAAAAAAAAAAAGAATTCTGGGTGACAAGTAGAATACAGGAAATATAAAGGACTATTTTATTAAAGGAATTTTACTGTATGTTATCTGTAATTTTTAATATTTATAAGAAGACATTAAATAAAAAGAATCTTACCAGATTGAGAAAACAGCCCTGGAGTCCTGGGAATTGCTAATCCTTTTGTTGACATGCCACTTAAACTGTCATCTAGGGCAGCCAAAACTAAGAAAAGAAGTTAAGCTAAGAAAATGTATATCAGATTTTGCCTCATTGTATAGAAAGTTCTTCTATCAAAATTTGGTGAGCTGACCCTCAGGTCCTGCAAATGCAATTTTTTTTCTAGTTGGTTAGTTACTGACAACCAAACTAGTTGAGGCTATGCACAAAATTTATTTTTTTAGATAAAAACCTTGTCTTATTTCATTAACTGGGAAGTGGAATAACCTAATCATTAATGGCAGAGAAAAATCAAATTCAAGTGTTCACATTTTACACAATGCCACAATCAAGAAAGCCACATTATAATTAGTGCAGTAAAACAACAGGCATTCTGTTGTTTTTTTCATTACAAATTGTGGGTGGTAGTTTGTGTATTAGATTAAAACAGCAAGAAATGTTTGCCATCTAGTTCATTTTAAAATACATTCCAAACAAGAAGAAACACTGATTTTTTTTTTAAGATTGAAACCAAGTGGAAAGTTGCACCTATTTTTATTACGAGTGTATTTTTTTCATTTTCAAGAAAGACACTATTTTTGCAGCACACAAAGATAACGGGCCTCTTCCAAATTACATCATTTATGGGATACAAGTTATATATTAACTACAATAATAAAGGATACTCGAAACTTTTTTTTGAGTACTTTGCTTTTGAACTGGCTGAATCATTTCTTGTGAAGACATATTCTGAAAATCATTCCTGAAAAGATAAGAATGAAAATTATTTTGAACTTGGCTCCATATTTTGTCTTCACAGACATAGGATGGATAGCTTTGCCTCCTTTTGACTGGAAAAAAAATATTTGGGAAATTTAGATTTAATTGTATTCCTCAGCAAATCTTCCCTTCTTTATTCACACAAGCAAGTTTTCATGATCAATCACATGTCTATGTGAAGATTTATGCAGACAGTGAGGGGCAAGAGCCCATACACGCATATGTATACGTGTGTGCGTGCATGTCCGCGCGCACACCCACACATACACACTCCCTTCAGGGCTATAATTTTGAATTGGAAAAGGGTGAAAAAAAGCACAATCATCATCAATTCGATGAAATAACCCCTGAATAGGTCTTAATCAATACAGTAAAATGGATATAATCACTGTGGAATGACATTTTTCTTATTAAAATATGAATTGTTCTTAGAACCCTGCCAAAGAGCAAACAGCATGATCTAACAAAAGTGAAATTCCACAGAAGGCACTTCAACAAGACAAAAGCCTCCCTTCTGACCAGTTATCAAAGAGCAAAGCATCTAAGGCAAGTGGTCTCAACTTGGCAACTTTAAGACCTGTGGACTTCAACTCCCAGAGTTCCTCAGCCAGCAAAGCTGGCTGAGGAACTCTGGGAGTTGAAGTCCACAAGTCTTAAAGTTGCCAAGGTTGGAGACCACTGATCTAAGGAATAGCTTCAATGATGCAGAAGGAGGTTCAGCACTTTTAGTGCCTATGCCATATATATAGTTTTNGGTTAAGGGTTAGGTTTAGGGTTAGGTTTGGGGGGGTTAGGGTAAGGTTTTCGCTTTATTTTTACATTTTTCGATCACAGCGCGATGTTTTCGTCGCGCTCTGATAACATCAAATGCGCGCTTTCGTCGAGCGCGATTTTGTCCTCCGCGGTTTTGTGGTGGAACCGCATGGAGTTCTACCAAAGTTCTGCTGCATGAAGGACATTATAATAATTAAAGCTTTTCTTTTATATTTGAATGCGGGACATTTGGATCCAAGATAAACAGTGTATAATTTCCATTTATATATAAGGGATTCATATTATTTAATACTTCAAGAAGAACTTTAAAAATTCAATATAATATTTTATAATTTACCACTAGAAGTAACTTTTATAGTAGGCTATCTTCCACTTGCAATCTTACCTGGCTCAGTGCTACAGTACATACATGTATTAAAGTAACTGACATGATGACTTTTTGCGTGCTTTTCCAGGCACAGGAGTTTTTCTGTTAATTTGTCGCACAAGGTCATAAAAGATCTGTAAAGAAGAATTCATTTCATTTAATATAGAAATTAAATCCTGTTATACATATCTTGTAATGCAGGGGCCCCCAATCCGTGAGCCACAGTTCTCTACCAGGCTGTGGCCTATTCACATCAGGGCCACGTTAGTGGTAGGTCGGTGTGCGCGCACATAGTCTGACTCATACAAATAGCAGGCACTGGTGCTTGCAGCCCCACTCGTGTGGGTGGTGGTGTTCGCAGCTCACTCACCCAAGTAGTGTGTGTGCATGTCCACAGTTCACAAAAATAAAGCTGTGTGTGCATATGTGTATAAGTGCCTGCGTCTTGTACAAAATCATCCCCTCTTACCCACCCGCATGCCGGGGCACCAACCATGAAAGGTTGGGGAACGCTGTTGTAATGCATTAAACTGGATCATGATTAGCCTTAGCAACAGTCCCATTTAACTTATGTAATATTTTAAAATTTCTGTTATACTGAAGTAGGGACATACTGTCTTCCTCATTTATTCTTCTTATTTGCTATGAAAATATGCTGCAATGCACCACTTGCAGAACTATGAAGTCCTATGTGCTGCACAAGAAGGGAATAAACCTACTACAAAATTATATAGCTCTATATTACGATGATACTTATTTGAGAAATTTTCAAGATATTTAGTTATCAATTGTATGTCTTTTCAAATATTCCTCCCAGTTAAAGCAGACTGGGCAAAAGTGATTCATTCATTCATTCATAAACGCAGGCTGCGTCATAACCCCAAGTCTTAATTTTAAAATTCTAAAACCATGATATTAAATAATATCTACTTCATCGTGCTATTTATTCAGAATTCCCAGTCTTCACTTAAGTACTACTAAAATTAATGATTAACATAGCTCACTAAATTAACCACCATTTTCAAACAAAAATGTCTTACATTTTAAATTAGAAAGGAATATACGGCCATTCTGTAAGCTGCCTTGAGTCGCCATGGGCGAATAGGTGGCAATATAAATTCAATAAACTAACTAACAAACAAACAAACATTGACAAATACTGTTAATGAAGAAGACGTGTGCCTTGGACAAATAAAAATATTATAAATACTTTATTCTCTTTACCTCATTAACATTTATCTTTGATTTTGCAGAAGATTCTAAAAATGCACAATTATTCCACTGCCTTGCTAAATTTTGTCCTTGTTCCTTTCCCACAACTCGTTCATCTTCCAAGTCGCACTTATTGCCAACCAGAATCATTGGAACCTAAAATGACAAAACAATGTACATGTATTAAAATGATACATGATTTACTGAATGGCTATTAGAAATTGGGCGTTATAAAAGCAATTAAATATATTTTAAAAATAAATTATTTGAAAATTAAATGGTAAAGGTTCTTGAACTATCACAGTGATGCTCACAGTAATGACAATAAAAGTTATCTCTTATTTTTCTTTCAATGAAGTTGAAAAGTTTTCATAAGAAAATTGTGTTTTCAATTTTCTTGATTTTAATGTAGTTTATGTAAACTCAAATTTATTCAGCAACCATTTTGCATGTAATCAGAGATGTAGAAAAATAAACATACATACAGGGTTTCGAAACTACTTACACAACTCAGGATGATTATGAAGGGATTGCAAGGAAAGGAATACCAAGAAACATTGATGGAGTGGATGAGATTCTCAAAATAGATTAGAATTATAAAGAACAAAATTATGAATAAATGCTCATGCTGGAAGGAAGGATAGAAAATTGTAGTGAAACATTTGAATGAGGTATAAAATACAATATTTCCTTTTCTTATTTGATGCTTTTAATTTCTTACTATTTGTTTCTCATTTCCTGTGCTTTGCATATGGGTATGTATGCATGCATGTAAGGTACCTACTTCACCAAATTACAAGTCAAAGATATTACAGAACTTTCCACTGAAGTTTTCAAGTTTTAGATTTTGTTTTCTGTTATTATGGTAATTAATGTTCCAGAAAGATGCATTTGTTCAATGAATGGTATTACAGAAAAATGCAATTTGTTACAATTATTCCATTTTTATGTATATTCTAGGCTATTTTAGCCATTTTAAGATTCATTTGAAATTTCTAATGCAATGTAATTTTAAAACATTTGTAATATCTTTCTGAAAAGAATGATTATATGGAGAAGGTTTTAATAACCCAGCATATAATTTCTGGTAACCTGCTGACACCAAAGTTGAAACTACCTTCAAACTAAAACAGGTAGCAATCAGCAGTTTCGAGTGTCCCATTGTTTATCTATGTTACACCATTGCTGTGCAAACTGTACTGACTTCTAGTTGCTTTCTGAGTACAATTCAAGGTGCATCTTTAAAGCATCACATGGCACAAGATCACTGCCTCTCCCTGAGGATGCCCACTCCAACAAGTTAGATAGGGTGAGAATGCTCAGGTCTCTTCCTTGATAAGCTGTTATGTGGTGGGCTCTAAGGTACCTATTTCCTATAACTGCTCCTACTTTCAAATAGCCTCCCATTCAAGAACTGGACAGGGCACTACACTTTTAATTTTCTTGAATGCCTTGAAGACCTTGTTCTACCCCAAGCATTAGGTTAGATGAGGATGAGCCAGTGAGTAGGGAGTATGGGTTATCAGTTACAATGGCACAATGTTTTATTAATCGTGTTATGAGCCAATAAGATTACTGAATGAGACTGTTATAAGATGTCTTATAAATAATAGATAAGACATTAAATAAAATAGAATACCAGCTAATAGCCCGAATCTGCAAGAATAAAGTCAGAAAAACTAAGGTTCAGAATGAACTAAGACTTGCAACAAATGCCAAATATAGCTTTAAAAGTTTATTTCCACATATAGAAAACAAGAAAAAAGTCAAGAAAACAATCAGTCTACTAATGGGAGAAATCAGCAAGGTGACAGGTAGCAGGGAAAAAAGGCATCTACTTAATATATTCTTTACATCCATCTTCTTGCAAAAGGGAAAAAAACGTTACTTACATCATCAGTGTCTTTGACTCGAAGAATTTGTTCTCGTAGATCCTGCAAATCATTAAATGTGGATTGTGCTGTGATGGAATAAACTAAAGCAAATCCTTGACCATTTTTCATGTAGAGGTCTCTCATTGCTGTAAATTGTTCCTATAATACAAAGAGAAATGGAGAATTCAAAACTGGCCTGTATTTTCCTTTTATATCAATATTATAAACATAAGCAACTATTGTTTAAATACAGATAACTTTTTACAGGTATTCCTTGTCTTATAACCTTTCATTTAGTGACTGTTCAAAGTTACAACAACTGAAAAGGTAACTTATCACCATTTTTCACACTTACCATTGCGCCCTCCCATGATAAAAAATTGTATGCTTGGCAACTGATTCATATTTATGATGACTACAGTGTCCCGGGGTCATGTGTATCAACACTGCACCGTAAAGCATAGGCATTCCAGGAAGCCCTAGGCCTGCAGCATGAAAGGCAGTTGCCCCAGCCCTGCAGGATGAAGCATAGTCACCCAGGAGTGTGGGGCAAAGCTGCAGCTGCCCTAGAAAGTTCCAGCCCAGGTCCTTAGCATGAAGAGAAGTTGTCCCAGGAAACCCTAGCAGCATGGTACAAAGCTGTAATTGCCTCAGGAAGCCCCAGTCTGGCACTGTAGTGCAAAGTTTCACATATCCCAGATGACCTTCACTGTCTCTTCTTCCTCCTGCTGCTGATGATATGCGATTGGCC